ATCTCAGAAGTAGAAAAGAGGTAATGAAGACCAAGCACTAGGAGCAGTAGCATAGTGGGTTAAGCTCCTGCCTGCGGCAGTGGCATCCTATATGGGCACCAGTTCATGTTCCAACTGCTCTTCTTCTGATTCAACTCTCATCTGATGGCCTGGCTAAACAGAGGAGGATGGCCAAGTTACTTGGGCCTCTGCACTCACCTGGGAGACTCAGAAGAAGCTTCTGGCTCCTGGCTTCAGCCTGGCCCAGCTCCAACCTTTGCTGCTATTTAGGGATGAATGACCTCTCTTTGTTCTCTGTCTCTACTTCTCTCTGTCTGTAACTTAGCCTATCAAATAAATAAGTGCATCTTAAAAAAAAAAAAAAAAAAAAAAAGACCAAGCACTATGAAGTTGCTCTAAATATAAGGCATCTTCAAAAAGTTCATAGAAAATGTGTATTATGAAAAACTATGCATGGATTTCAACATTAACTTGTGCCAAAAGAAATTTATCTTTTTAAAAATTTATTCACTTATTTGTTTGAAAGGCAGAGTGACAGAGAACAGAGAGAATAATGAGCTGCTTATAAAGACATTCATAAAGTGAAAATGTAGACAGTGATTTATCAGCAAATACAAATAAAGGGAGCAAGAGGAGCATGATGAGTAGTAGATACTGGAATTTAGGTAAAAACAATCAATTTGAATGAAAATATAAATAAAGGTATAATGGTGATAAACCTTTGTAATATATCTTATTACATGAATCAAATTATTAAAAATAAAAGATGAGTTTTTGGAAAGGTAATTGTTGTTTTAGAACTATCATAAAAGGAAAACAATAAGTACAGCAATAATTATAATACTCTTAACAATGTGTGCTGACATTCTTATCAACTCATTATTTGTGCTCAGTGATTCTAATTCTCATAATATATATATTTTTGAGAGATATATTTATTTTATTTGAAAAGCAGAGTTACAGAGAGAGAGGAGAGGCAGAGAGAGAGAGAGAGAGAGAGAATCTTCCATCCCCTGGTTCACTCCTCTAATGGTCTTAATGTCTGGAGCTGGGCCAATCCAAAGCAGGAGCCAGGAGTTTCTTCTGGGTCTTCCACGTGGGTGTAGGAGCCCAAGCAATCGGACCATCTTCCACTGCTTTCCCAGGTACATTAGCAGGGAGCTGGATCGGAAGTAGAACAGCCAGTATTCAAACCAGCACCCATATGTGATGCAGGTGATGGCTTAACCCACACAGTGGCAGCCCCAGAATATAGTTTTTAAATAGTAAAATACATGGGCAAATATTTATAAATAAATGTATAAAGTAAAGCCTCTCAACAATGATAGCTAAATCCTAATATGTTCATATGATGTTCAATTCATATAGTCATTAAAATTACAGACTAGATTAATTTTTGATGTAGTGGAAAATTCACACAATGTATATAGGTAAGATGTACTTAATAACTGTTAGAATGATTACAGCATACTTATAAGCATGTTATGATTTCTTTTTCATTTATTCCTCACAAAGCAATATTGGTGGTTCAATCCATGTATCTATCTTATCAAATATTTTTTTGATAGATGAAAATGTTTTATTGCAGTTCAATTTTATAATTCTATTATATGAGGCTGTATATCAGATCAAATGTGTAGTAAAATATTTTATAGGGAAGCAGCTAAGATTAGGGCGATTTTTCCAAGGCAACCCTCTTGACTCTTAAGCACCCAATATATCAAAGATTTTTTCTAAAAACAAATAGATACATCCGGTGCATTTATGATATTCTCTTAAGAGTTTATTATAAACCAGTTTCATAGGCCACAAGGAAATAAAAGGACTATGTACAGCCTTACAGGACACAGGCAGGGAGCTGAGGAGGGCCAAGATGAGTCTAGGGCCTTGGTGGGCGCATTCCCGGGGGAGGGGGCCCTGTAAGGGAAACCAGACAATCCGGTGAGACTCCGCGAACAACAGCATAACAAACAAACAGGTCTGTGGTAGCGTGGCCCTGGGGGATCGGGCCCACGCCTCTGTGGATCTACTTCTATAACTCTGTGGCCAGGGTCAAAGGAGGCCTCGCATCCCAGGGGGAGGGGGCCGAATCCCTGGAGGGGGCATGCCCATTGGAGTTCCTCGTCCAGGGGGAATTCCCACTGGGGGACCCATAGGAGGCCTCATACCAGGAGGTGGGCCCATCATGCCTGGAGGAGGTGCACCTCGGCCCATGGGTGGGGGAGGACCCGCACGGCCAGGTGGGTACTGGGTGGGGGCCCCTGCAATACTAGCTGTGGCAGCTGCTGCAGCGGCTGCAACAGTGCCTCTTCCTTGAGGGGTCATCACCTGTTGGGATGGCCCACCAACCCCACGGACCGGGCCAGCAAGACCTGCGGGAGCCTGAGGCATGGGAACACCAGCTGGGATTCCTCTGCCAGCGGCCCTGCCAATCCCTGGGCCCCCAGCAGCTCCAGCAAGTGGTACTCGGGCAATGCCAGTATTTTTGGGAGGAGGACCCTCTACCGTCATGGAGACCAGGTTCTCCCCAAGCAGCAGCACCAGGCCGAGGACTCGCTTCTCTTCCCTTTCTGCCTGTTTGGAGTTCTTCGGCTTGATCTTCCTGAACTCGTCACAGTCACAGAGGATCAAATTCACGTGCTTGTCAAAAGCCTTAAAGGTGCCGATGAAGATGCGGCCGTGCTGCAGGATGCACCTCATCCTGTAGTCGATGTGCTGCAGCATCTTGCTGCTCTTGCCCACCGTCATGCTGGCGGTTCTGATGGCTCAGATCCCCGCTGGATTCCCTTCCACCGAGGCCTAGACGCCAGCCAGCGGCCCGACTCCCGCCCTATCTTATCAAATATTTAACATTACTTTATTCCAAAAAGTATCCAAAATCCTACCTTATTTAATACTTTCAAATTGGGTTATCTGTCTTCCGTGTACAAGAGTATATTATTTATATTTATACGAGGAAGATAGTTGTAAACCTGAAGTGTCTGGCAAATAAGGATGCAGAGGCACCACACATAAAATGGTTCTTTAAGGTCTAAGTGTTTACATACATTAATCTCATTTTATAACTAAAAAATAGTGCATAAATAGTGATCAAATTACATAATAAAATACTAGTTCTAGAAATAGAAAAGAGAAACTGTTTTCTTCAGTTAATCTGTGATTCTTATCATTGATACAAAACAAAACAAAAACCATTGGTTTCAGTTTCCCCGATGCATAGAAAGCTTTGAATCATAATTTCTAGAATCTAGGAATATGCAAAATTTTATTTGTTTCAAAATTTCAAAACCATTGAAATCTGCAAAACTTTGTAATGTTATGCTAAGAAGCATGAGATTTACAAAGGGGAGAACTAATGTATGTGATTGTAGGAAATTATAGATTATTAAAACAAGATTTTAACCACAAATCCTCCATTCAAATAGTACTAGAAAAGCAACTGACAGATAATGATACTAGATAATTCTGTTCAGATAATGAATGAATATTTGCTAAATTATTCTTCATTAATGCAAGCACAATGGTGAGCATTTGAACTAGAAGTTAAGATGCCACTTGGGATGCCCACATTCTATAATAGAGTGCCTAGGTTCGATACTGGGCTCTGTTCTTGATTCCAGCTTCTTGCTAATGTGTATTCTGGGAGTCATGAGATGATTGGACAAATATATGAGTCCCTCTCACCCATATGGGAAAATTGGATGGATTTCCCAGCTCCCGGCCTTGGCCTGCCCTTGCCTCTGATTATGGCCGGTATTTGGAGATGAATCTGTGAGTGGGAGATATCTCTCTCTCTCTCTCCTTTTTTTAAAAAAAACATATGTTTATTTATTCATTTTTGTGTGAATCTGAAAGGCAGAGTGATAGAGGGAGGCAGGACACACATACACAAACACACACCAAACACAGAGGTTTATTTTATTTTATTTATTTTATTTTTAAATATTTTTTATTTATTTATTTGACAGGTAGAGTTATAGACAGTGAGAGTGAGAGACAGAGGTTTATTTTAAGGTAAACTAATAGTTATCATTTCCTTTGAGGAAAATCAATTGTATATTAGGCTAGGAGAACATGGAGGACACATTTGAGAAGCTGAGGGGAAAAGAACTGTTGATTTCATATCTACTTTTGTCTTTCTCTGTTTTCCTTTAGAGATGCATACTGTTATGTGATAGTGCAGTTGCGTAGGTGCTAACAAGGCAAGCTGGCCTGTGTATTTGGGGGAATCTTGAACTTATATATGTCTTCCAGAGGCTTGTCTCTATTATCCCGTAGGCTGTGTTCAGTGGGTATAAAATGTCTGAACCCTAAAAATGTACAAGCTAATCTTTCAGAAGGAATTAGTTAATTAAAACTCATATTAAATAAAGTATAAGAGGAAGCCTTGGGATGAGTTATCCAAAGAGATTTGTTATAATCTTTTGTTGTAATCTTTCTGAGAATATTTTAAAAGCTGCAAAGATATGTTTTAGAAGCACCAAGATAATTCTGGGTAAGATCATGCCTTACTGGGGTTATACGAGGTACCAGTCCATTCCTCCCTTATGCCTGCCTTTCTTTACCTGTTAATTTATCCTGGTTCCCCAGGTTTGGCTCTGTTTTTTAGCTTTGTCCATATAATATACATGTTTTCTTTATAATGTGTAGATGGATACATCCATTCCAGTAAAAGATATATTCTATTCATGAGCTTCTAGCCAGCTGTCAGGGTATCATCAAATGTGGTTTATCTTGGTGAATGAAAGTTTGAATGGAAAATTAAGCTCCCACACTGTCTGTAGAGGTGCAGAGGATCATTTTGCTCTTCAATGTCACACCTCAGTGGACACACTTCACAGAGCAGTGAATCATGTTTAAAACAAGCAGCCTTTACTTTAACGACATCAGATAATGCAGCGGAGGTGGATAATAAGTGTTAGCGGCTTTAACTTTCTCTTTCAGTACTTTTTCCCAGGTGCCTGATGGACAATTTATGAAATACATATGTTATTTTATAGATAGGAACTTGGGATCCTGCCAGTGGCCTGAATATGACAGAAAGTCAAAAGGGAAAGCCAGCCAACATCACAGATTCCTTATCCAATCGTTCTTTGATTGTTACCACCATTTTGGTAAGTATTCATTTTTCTATTAATTTTATTAATAATTTTCTATTAATTTTACATAAATTTATATAAGCATGGAAGTGCATATAAAGTGACATTATAATTGGAACACTAATAAACAGAATATTATGTATTTTACAGTTATTTAGCAATTACTGTATAATGAATGAGTCAATGTTAATATAGTTATGGTTTTCATAGTCTTCAATGATATAAATTATATGAATATTTGGACTGTTTAAGTTAATTAATTATATAATTTTATATATTACTGGAAATCCTTATATTTTCATGGAATTAGTTACTATTGAAGAATTGTGAGTGTCAAGATTTGGAAAAATACTTGGACATGAGCTTTATGAATACAATTTTATTTTAACCTGGCTTTCAATTTCATTGTTTTCATCTTGGAGAAGCACTTTTACTTTACTAATATTTCCAATGAAATAGAATAGCAAGTGCTTTCTTAAGCCAGAAATATTTTCACCACCAATAGAATTCAGTTAATAGTGATGTTATATATTTTCCCCCCTTCTGATTATATATTTTCATTAGATTGTATAGTAATGTTTACTTATGCTATTTGCAAAGGAAAATTTGAATTTTAGGGTAAGCAAGGAGCTTATATATTATTTGGTCAGAATTCTACATATAGAAGTTTATCAATGTCCTTGTGTCTTTCCACATAGCCAGTAAGAATGTGAGATTAACCTAAAAAACAAACCACTACAATTCTTTGCATTTATACAGATTTACAGTAACGAATTAAGCCAGGATGAATTCATATTCTTGTCCATTTAGTAACAGCAAAATAGATCTGTAAGCATGTCAAAATAAAATAAATTAGGATAAAGACTTTTGATAATGCGACAAAACTGATAATCATGAAATGACAATGATGGAAGTCATAAGGATTTTTCTTTTTTTTTTTTTTTTTTGATAGCAGTAAATACTTGTTACCTATGTATCATATCCAAACTTGCAAGGCTCTGTTCAACTTAATTTTATCAATTCCTTTCTTTTCCAAAATAGCTCTCATATCTACCAACTCAACACCATTCTTCTGACATTATGTTCTCACAGGACACTAATATAGTTCTCATGCTGGCCCATCTGGCAGTATGCACTGGTTCTCATTACCTGTGCTGGAATTACTGCAGTAACCATGTAGCCATCCATTCTGTTCATAACCTTATCCCTTAGTGACATACCCTTAACCTCACCACACAAATGTAATTCTGTCATTTATCTATTTCTCTAATTATAGAAATCTTTAGAAAATCCATGTAAACCATTAAAAGCCTGGAAATTGCAAGCTTTCTATAAGCTTGTCCTGTCCAACCTTTCTATCTTCACTTCTCTTTCCAGAAATCCATGTTTTAAATGACCCAGGGTAACCCATTAGCCTACTACTGTGATTGTGTAAGCTGTGTTACCTGTTTCTATGACATGTTTCTCTCCATTTCTAAGATTTTTTAAAAAATATTTGTCAATACTTAGTATGATTTAGAATTAATGCTATGCTATTGTTTATGTGTGTATTCTTTCTAAAAACATCACTGAACATTGCCTAGAAGCACAGAAGTTGAGTATGTCTTTTTATATCACATGCACCTCTACATTGCTCAGAGAGTGAAGAATGCTAAGCAGAGGACATCTGCACCACAGCAATCTGACCCTTACACTCCTTTCTATGTCCTTCCTGGTACAGATTCCCAAATACATCACTTATTATGGATCCAAACATTTGATCAGTTCTTTTCATTTCTTTATGCAAATCCTACATATCTTTGTAGACCTCTGTCAAATACTTATGTACTCTATGAACTCTCTTATCTGTCCATGCAATTGAGTGTGTTCTGGGAGGTAGAAGATTGTGCACTACATGTATCATAATATCTAATCATGATACTTCACTTGCTTTTTTTACTTTACATAATTTGCCCTTGTTTCCACCTGCATTTGACATGAGTTTGTATAAGGCTAAAAATAAAATTTTACACATTCCTCTCAGTGTCAGGAAAACTGCCTTAGGCATAGCAAGCAGTAAACAAATATTTGTCAGATTAAACTAAATAAATGGTAAATTAGAGGAAATAAAGAAACTTCAAATATCTGTATTTAAATATTTTCAAGTGTGCAGATTATCATAATCTTCTAGTGCAAGCAAAGCAGGTAATTAAGATTACTCATATAATTTCGCAATCTTGCTTAATTACTCAAGGTCATTTTGTAAGAATTATTCAGATATTTTCTAAATCATGAACAATATTACATCTATCTGCATATAAACTGTATTTAATTTAGATTTATTTCAGAGCCACCCATAAAGCTTTAAGAAAATAAACATACTTCATACCATATGAAACACTAGTTCTGGGTTTTGGATCTTGAACATCATTTTTTAAAGTACCACTAGTAATTCTGATCTATAACCAGGATTCACAAGTACTGCTTGGATAATTACTCCATATAACTGAAATGTAAGATCAACTGTGAAGCATGCACTAAGTATAAACTTTAATAATGAGGTTATTTATATTTTATAATGTGACACACTACTTATTTCTAAAAGATTCACATGTTCCTAAATGAATAAAAATGAGAGGGCTGGCATTGTGCTGCCAGCATCCCATGTCAGAGTGCTAGTTTAGAACCTCAGCTTTAGAACTCTGCCTCCAATCCAGCTTCCTGCTAATATGCCTGTAAAGGCAGTGGATGATGGCATAAGTACTTGAGCCTCTGCAACCCATGTGTGAGACCACAATGGAGTTCCTCATTCCTGATTTTGGATTCTCCCAAACTTGGCAGTTGAGGCCATTTCGGTAGTAAATCAGCAGATGGAAGATCACCCTCTTTGTCTCTCATGTCTCTCTTGCTGTGCCTCTCAAATAAATAAATAAATTTTTTTAAAAAAAGAATAAAATAAAAGCACTTTATTTTTATCTTAGTTGAAAACAAAATATTTTAAGAAATATTCTGATTACCAAGTCTCCGGAATTTAGAAAAGAACAAATTAGAGAAGATTATTTGTGTAAGTTATTTGCTTGATGCAATTTACTAGTATTCATTTATATTTTTTATTAATATAAAGAAAACAGATTTCATGTATTACTTAGGTACAGCTCTAGGAAGATAATCATACTTCTTTCTCTCTTCTTTTCTCTCCCTCAATCCCCCTCTTTCCTTCCTTTCTTTTTTTTCTCTTTAATTTTTGCAAAGACATTATTTCAATCCACTCTGTAATCACAGACTTAGTTTAACACTAACCATAATATTTAACAAGTAAAATGCAGGAATACCACAGTTCCACAGGAGTACAAACAAGGGCTAACAACAACAATCATATCAGAAGATGTCTGTAGGATGTGAGCATTGAATTTATGGACTGGTTATTTTTTCCTTTTCTCTCTTAGAAAATCTCAGAGGAAATACTGACTATCTTATGAATAATGACATTTCTTACAATGTCTCTATTATGTGAATGAGTCAAAGAGAAGTTCATCTGTGAGTCTTGTTCAACAGTTTTATAGTGTGTCTCTTTTTAAAGTGAAGTATTCTGGAATTTAGCATTATCTGTGAGGTAATCACAATTCTATTTCTCATAAATTTTACTTATTGATTGACTCATTCATTTAATCTTATTTGTTCATTCTTTTCTTTAACAAATATATATTAAATTAGAATAACCTATCAGGCATTGCACTACGAGCTGTATTTTTCTGACCATAATAGACATTATCTATGTGGAAATTGGCAAGGATTCACATGGAGAATTCATATCCATAGATACAAGGATATGCACACACAGACATACAAACACAAATACACACAATTGTGATTAGTATATAAGAAAAAAGTAAATGACGTAATCTCTTTGTATTACAGGATAATACTGAGTTATACTGGGGATCAAGAGTGCGAGTCAAGTTAGGACTTTAAGTAGAATTGACAGATTAGGCCCAATGATTGAGAAGGAATTAACAAGGTAAAGAACATAAAAGAAGTATTCTAGGCAGAGAGAACAGCATGTGTCAGAGCCCTAACACAGGATAGATCTTAGGAATTTTGCAAAACTGAAAACAGTCTATGCATTCTGCAGCTGAGTTCCTCAGCTTCATCCACTTATGAACATATGAACTTGGTTCACTGCAAAAAGCAAGATTTATTTCATTCCTGCTATTTGCCAGACATAGTTCAAAGCACTACACATTACTTTTCCCACTGAATTAACCTAACAACGTTTTGAGCTTTATACCATTGTGCATACCATTTTAAAAGTGAGAAAGCTGATGTTCAGATTGATTGCCTAAGTAATCTACTCATGGTCACACCGCTAGAAAGTTTCACAATCAATCTGTTTTAACAACTTGAGCAACTGATACTATGTGAAATTTCTAGCTTCCCACTTTGGAAAAGCTGAGTAATTGCACTTTGTGATCAAAATAATGCTTGACTTAGAATTATCTAAAGCAATGTTTAATATCCAGAAGTCCCACATAAACTAGGGCAATGTGATGCTATCATGGGTGTTTCCCCAAACACCAAGGCATTACCTACTATGGATGAGGATTTTGGAGTCTTTACTGGATGTGTTGTGTCTCTAGTTTCTGTTTTCTCCTAATTTAGCACTCAGTTTTCTTTCAGACTTTGTAACCCATAACCTCAGCTTCTCTGACACTTAAAACAGTATTCGAACATATATAATTTTTTTCTCTGTAGAATTGGAGTTATTTACAAGTGTAGTTCTTCCTACAGTTCAACAACACCACCTAAACCCAATACACTGTGTGGGTGCAACACATAGTACTGTTATGGAGTGAATTCACCTCAGAAACCATAAACACTCTTTTTAATGATTAATTTCTTTTTTAGTTTTGAATTAAAATTTATGATTTGGAAATTTACAGTTCTATACCTAGTGTTTCAGTCTACTCATGTCCTCTCTTCAATATTGTTGGTGATTTCCCATATTACCTCTTTGCTCTTTGAAATTCAATTGTTTA